ATTTATACAAATTTTAAATATAATTTATATTTAAATATAGTATTTATTTTTAAATAATTTATTATAAATTTTAGATATATATAATAAATATTTAGCAAATATATTACACATGTTAAAGTATAAGTATTTGTTAAACAGCAAATGTAAACATCCAACATTATTGTACTCACATTTGAAGCCCAAAAGTGCAAATAAGCCCATTTGAAAAATAAGCTCACTATCTGTACAACCAGGCTTTGGTGTCTAGAGGCCCACTCTTCTTATTGGTCACTACAGGTGTCACTCTGTGGTGCTCAACGTCGGAACCCTCCTCCAATGCCCTAGCAAAACATGGGCTTCTATGTGAACATTTTTACATTAAGGTTTGAAATAATAAAGTTTAAATCATAGGAGTATGCAGGGCACGGATCAGTTTATTTTTGTGTGAATTAAACGTAAAATTTTAACAAGATTATTTATTTAAATATGAAACCTAATTCGATCAAAATATTCAATGATATATGTAACAAATCATATTAACGTGATATATCAATATTAATATTTTGTATAATTAAATCTACAGCTAGAAGATTCATATAAGTTTAAATATGATCTTTTTTCTAATGTCCAATTGTACTATTTTGCAATATCATATTGTCATAACAAATATCAAGTTTGCTCTATGTTGTTGATCAAATTTAGAATAAAAACTTAGTTTATATTGAGTATTTTGATTATTATAAAGAGTGTCTCTCATGTTGAGTGTAAATTGCATTGATATGTGTTTATGTTTTATTTGTTATGTTTTGTTCTGGTATGCCTAAAAGTTCCATATCGCTTGGGAGTCGAGGTTAAAGATAGTTTATAAACACTCTTCCTCCTTAGCCCACCAAGACGCCTTTTAAAGGACAAAATCGTGACGGCCCAACGAGGCAAAGCGAACAATACCTCGGATGCAGTGACCCTAACGATGACAACGGATTTACGATAGGAACATTGGCGCTAGAAGAAGGGCCCAAGCCACTCATGCCCCTTAGCATCGACTTGGGGGTCTTATTCCGGTACGCCTAAAAGTCTCACATCGCTTAAGAGTCGAGGCTAAGGGTAATTTATAAACACCCTTCCTCCTTAACCCACCGAGGCGCCTTTTAAAGGACAAAACCATGACGGCCACTTTTGCCCCTTAGCATCGAGGTAAGTCCACTGTCATCGTTAGGGTCACCGTATTTGAGGTATTATCTGCTTTGGCTTGTTGGGCCGTCACCTTTTTGTTCTTTAAAAGGTGTCTCGGTGGGTTAAGGAGGAAGAGTGTTTATAAACTACCCTTAACCTCGACTTCTAAGCAATGTAGGACTTTTAGGCATATACCGGAACATGTTTGTTTTGTATAAGTAACTTAATCATATATTTCTTATTAGATGATGAAAAGAATTTTAAATTGATTTTAAACTTGAAAAGTCAATAATTTGAGTTTATCACTCAAAATAATCAATTAACCACTTATAATGATTGATTATTTACACTGTGTTTTCTCATTTCGAGAAACTCATTGTAATGATTATTTTATAGTCATTTCTCTTTAATAATCGATTATTTTAATAATTAATCGATTAAAGTATTTTTGACCAATTTCAAATTTACCAATAACAAAATAATCAATTATCTAGAAAAATAATTAATTATTTCAATCAGATAGTTCTATCAATTTTCAAACTCATAACAAAAAATCTGAAATACTTGTAACTTGGTGAAATCTTTTGGAAAAAAAAAACTATTTAAAATTATTTGTTTCTTTGTGAAATGATCCTTTGTGGATAATTTCAATAAGGTGTTCAAGAATCATCACCATCAAATTAGAGAGAAAGGTAGAGTTACTATGAATTTAATTTACCTATTTTATTGATTTTGTATTCAGGTGAATTCAATATAAAACTCCTTTTATCATTGTTCTTAAGTAGGTTTCTCAAGATCAAATGTTTTATAGTGGGAGACTATAAGAACATTTCTTGGGGTTCAAAAAATGAGTTTATCTTTAGGATTCTAAGAGTTTATTGCATGTGTGTGGTTGTAACATTCTAAATATAGAGATAATGAAAAATCTAAATCAGGTTGATTGGGAAGTGAATATAAATTATAGTAGTAGTGGTTGAATCGGTATAAATTATTGTGTCTTTTCTCTTTATCTCTACACTCTTTATTTGAATTCTTTGCATTTAATTTTTTATTTTTAATATTGCATATCATATATGATTAAACTCGTAATTTGTTGTTAAGTTTAGAAATCAATCTTAATATTTTATTCTATTATTTAAATCAATAGATTTTTTTGAAATTTTTTTGAAAATTAAAGATCTTAAAAATATATTTTAAAATACCCAATTCAACCTCCTCTTAGATAAATTCATATTTTCTAACATGATTTTAAAGTAAATTGTAGGGATGACAAATATACTCGTACCCGCAAGTAATACCCGAACCCGTCTCGACTTTGATGGGGAATACCCGGTTTGACCGGGTACAGGTAAAACCCGATATATTAAATCGGGTATGGGTGCGGGTACGGGTATGTACTTACCTGCCCCGTCCCCGTCCCCGTCCCCGTTTCCATTCTTAATTTAATATCCACTTTTAATTTAATTATATTAAAAAAAATTAATATTTTTTTTATGTGTGATTATTTATTATAATATGAGATAAAAAAATAACTTAATTATAATTATAATATAATAAAAAAATAATTTAAAAATATTATTTTTTTTACAAAAATAAAAAATAAAAAATAAATTGACGGATACGGGTACGGGTATACCCGATACCTGACGAGGACAGGGATGGGGATGAAAATCACATACCCAACAGGTACGAAGATGGAGATGGATTTGACTCGCAAGGATGGAAATGAGTATCATGAAACATGTACCTGACCCGCCCCGTTGCCATTCCTAGTAAATTGTCTATTTTTTTTTAGTTAATTGTGTGAGTAATTAGAAATAGGTTAACTTTACTCATTTACACCACTAATCCCTATTTTGACTAACTATTATATAGTTAGGAGATTTGGATAAGACTGACAAAAGGGTCTATGCAAAGTGAGGTGAAGTATGTGATTCATGCCAAGAAAAATAAATAATCTCTATTTTGTTGAGCATCATTTGTTTTGTGTCCAGTTAGATACCGGTAAAGTGTCCCTTTCTCTCTTTGTACCCCTTCACCTAGCTACACATACTTGGTGTTGGGCGCCATTTGTATGAGTCCACATTTTAAACTTTTAATCTACATTTGTGATTTTTGGAAGGAATTTCAAAGGTTTAAGATTCCATGCCACCACTCTATTTTCTCCTTTCATGACTCCATTATTTTCATTTTTTTTTCTCTCCATAACAACGATGAGTTAATTTCATCTAATACATTTTTACTTTTATTAACGTGAAGATAAAAATATACTACACTGCTTATAAAATTTTACTATCGAAATTTAGCTTAAATGATTGAAAGTGCCTTTGAATTGTTGTAATTCATTGATATTAAATTTGATTCTCATAAATAAAAATTAATAAATTTATTTAAAATTTTAAAAATTGATCTTATTTCTCTAAAATAAAATATGTATTTTAAAGAACAAAATGTAACAATGACTGTTGATTAAGAAATTAATGATTAAAAATTGTGATAAAATTAATAAATGTTTTATAAAATTTAAAATAAACTAATATTTAATATTATTTTTTTAGTTAAGAGTTATTATTACACTTTATTCTCTAGAGTGAAAATTTTTCACTCTAGGAAAGTCAAATCCAGATTAATAAGGAGTATATTTACTATTTGATGATTGAGCCAATAGAGATAATATTAAGAGTAATAATGATTATTTTTTTACTATTGTATGACTAAGTTTCACAAAGTTGTGCAAAAGAATCTACTGAGTGTTAAAAATATTGACAAATATAAAGAATAACAATCGACTATGATGAACATAAATGAACTGTGAGAAAGGTAAAATATTTGAGATTATAGAAATTATACTAAAAGGTTAAATAATTGAAATTATAAAAATTATAAAATACTTTAACCCTAATTATTATTTATCATTTTTATTGATATTAGTATATAAATATTTTCATTAAATAATACTTTTATCTCAAATAAAAATAGGTAGAGTACAAATGATAAACTATAATTTTTTTAATAAATTTACTAAAATTAATTAACATAATTATTTATATCAATATGTATAATCCAATTAAATATACCTTATAATAAAATATATAAGTGATTATATGCTATCTAAACTAGCACAAATGGCAAAATCGATATTAAAGAAAACGAAGAATCTGTTTATATATGCTTGGCCAAGAGTAAGGAACGAGAGAACTTAAATTCATATATGCTATAGTTTGAGTATTAGCACAATGTTGCTGTTTTATATCAGAATTTTCTTTTGCTACCTCAATTTGATGATTATCCATCAAATTTGCATCTACAACCACACTGTCAGGGTTTCAAATATGCTAACTTACCCGCACAAATTCACAATAGTTAAAATTAGTTGCCTACCCCTAACCCCAAATAATAATAAATTAACAAAAACAATTACAAAGATTATTTTTAGCTCCCTTAAAACAGATAAATAATAATTTTATTCTTTCAAAATAATTAACATACTTCAAAAGACTAATAATTCACTTTAATAAATCAAATTGTGCATTGAAACTAGTTTTTATGAAATTTTTTCGAATTCATCTTTTTGAAGTAAATTCGACATAAGATTTATTACATAAATTTAAAATGAATTGAAATATTAAGATACCCGCTTATAGTGAATATTAAAATTATGGCGCGTATAAATAAGAAAGCGGAAACTAGAAAATGACGAAACACAAGGCGAAATGGAAAACCAAAATCCGGAGAAAACGTATCGCCATCATCGCAGGGTTAGTTTGGGCATTGGGGAAAACATTAAGATCTCTCCCCTTTCTCTCGTCTTCAACCAAACCCGTCTTTTCCCCAAATCTCAAATCCTCCACCCTCCGCAAACCCTAACCCTCGACCCTCCCTTCTCGAACCTTCCGTGATTTCGTCAAATCAATGGCCAAAGGCACCGATTCCGACGAGTTCGTCTTGCTCTCTAGGGTTCGCTCCGGCCTCAAGCGTGAGTTCGCCTTCGCCATGAAGGCCCAGTCCGAGATCTGCGCCGCCTCCTTGGGCCGGACGCGGGCCAGCAAGAACCGTCCCGACCCGCCGCTCCAGCCCGCCTCGGCCCGCAAGCGCTCCAGGAAGGCCGAGGAGCCCAAACCCCACGAGGACGCTGCCATGAGCGAGGAAGAGGCCAAGAGCGATGTCGTTGATCTTCAGAGCGACGATGAACCCAAGATTCACGCCGGAGAGTCTACGCCAATGCCGGTTTGCGAAGAGAATTGTAATCCTAAAAGCGACGTCGTTTTGGAAACTGAGGAGCCCAAGAATGACGTCGTTTTGGAAACTGTTATCAATGAGGAAGAGCCTGTGGTGAAGGAAGAGATTGTGGATGAGATGGCAGAAGCAGAAGCAGAACCTGAACCTGCACCTGAACCTGTTTGTGGAATTAAAGAGGAATTGGAGAAGGAGAAGGATATTGGTGAGACAACAACCCTAGTTTTGGTTAAAGATGATGTTAAGGGCAAGAAGAAGAAGCGGTTGGAGAAGCCGGAACCGGTGAGAAGGTTTACTCGTTCGTTGTTGAAGGTGAAATCTGAGGAAGGGAATGATGAGGGACATGTTGGTGTGATTGAAATTGATGATGATGTTAAGAGGGAAAGTGAAAGCGAGGCTTCGTTGGTGATGACGGGTCCTTCAACATGGACAAAGAATTCGAGTTATAGGTTGAGGAAGTTTCCTACCAAGTTGAAGGATCTTCTTGCTACGGGGATTCTTGAGGGATTGCCAGTGAGGTACAAGAAGGGGACGAAGGTATTGTTTGTTTGGTTCGTTTGATTGCCTTGGTTTTAGATTTGAATTGGGAGTTTCTGCTTGATATGTGAGTTTCATGTGTTTGAGGATTTTTGTAGGCACGGAAGCCTGGAGAATCAGCGCTTCAAGGAGTGATTCGTGACTCTGGGGTTTTGTGCTTTTGTGATATTTGTAAGGGGGTTGAGGTAAGTAAGTTGAGGATAGGTTACTTTTTTATTTTTTTGTGTTTTTAGAGTCTGATAGATTATGGGTTTGTATTTTTTTTTAATTTGGTTTTTGGTGTAAGTAGGTTGTCACGCCCACTGTGTTTGAGCTGCATGCTAGGAGTGCAAACAAGCGTCCCCCGGAGTACATTTACATTGATAATGGAAATGGTGGAGTTACCCTTCGTGATGTCATGAATGCCTGCTGCTGTTCTTCATTGAAGTCCCTGGAGGAAGTCCTCCAAAAGTTCCTTGGTGACTTCACTTTGAAGAAATCTTCCGTCTGTTTTAACTGCAGAGGTTTGAAGTCCATATATTTGATTTTCTACTCTTGATTCTCCTAATGTATTTGCAGTTTTGCTTACTTATTTCAAGCCATGTAAGAAGTAATGGTGATGGATTTTCGTGTCTATCTTAGGTGCATGCAAAGGTGTGGCAAGACTAGTATGTGATTCATGCGTAGGGTTGATCGACTCTCAACAAAACCCCCCTCAAATAGCTGCTGCTAGCATCAAAAGAGTTTCACAGCCAGTTCAACCCAGGTATCATTTTAGTTGTTATATAAACATAATTGTTACTAATTGTACATTATAAGATATAAAAAATTGGTCTCTTTAACTTACCCCGGATGAAAAATCTGATTAAATATTTCCATATAAAATAATTGAATGATGCAATTAATTATGTTATTTAAAAGGTTTGGTATAACTTTATTAATTGTATTAATCATCTTCTGGGGTTTGTTCCTGTTTAACTGCATTTTTACTTGGATTAAGTTAGACAACCCCAAAAGAAATAAGAAATCTATACTAATCTATACTAATATATAAAGGGGATACCCTTTTTAATAACCACATTGGTCTCCATATTTTGTTGATCATTGTACCCTTGTATTTTAAAAATTATAAAAAATAATATTTTTTTATCAAACTTAAGAACTAGAAACTAATAGACTAATCATAACAACAATTAAACTAACATATTTTTATTAGTTAATTTTGATTTTGATTTTATTTTTAATAGAGGCACGAAGTGCCTCAATCCTACTAGTTAGGATAAATATTGTAACTTTTCCCTACTTAAAAATTTTATCTGAAATATTTGTAAATTGTAATATTTGTCTACTTTTTGCACTCCCTGCCTTATACCATGCTAAAAATGCACAGCCTCTTATAGTATAGGATGACAAGTTATTTGTTTAATGTCACTTTCACTTTTATTCCTAATTAGTTACAAGTAAACACATTGCATATTTCTCAGATCTCCAGAACCAGTTCCATGTTCCTTAAATCTCAGTTCACCAGAACCAGTTGGGGTTCAAAAATCATCAGACAATGGGATGCAGCCAAATTCATTAGACAATGGGATGCAGCCAAGTTCATTAGTCATCGGGATGCAGCCTAGTTCATTAGACAACGGGATGCAGCCTAGTTCATTAGATAACGGGATGCAGCCCAATTCATTAGATAACGGGATGCAGCCTTATTCATTAGATAACGGGATGCAGCCAAATTCACCAAACAATGGGAAGCACCGAAATTCATCAAACAATGGGATGAAGCACAGTGCATCTCGTGGTAAGAGTCAGGGAAGACTAACTAGGAAGTAAGTGTGTTTGTAAAACACTTATCTAAAACTTTTCCTTGGCTTAGGATTTAGGAATGAATTATTTGCTTTAACATATCATATTTTAGACTTGTCAGGGATTTAATTTATATCTTTTATTTATTTTTTAATTTCAAAAGGGATTTGCGGTTGCATAAGTTGGTATTTGAAGCAGATGTTTTGCCGGATGGAACTGAAGTAGCCTATTATGCTCATGGAAAGGTTGCTTTGATGAAGATGGTTTCTGTTTTTCCTAATATTTACTATTTATAACATTTACCTTTGCTGATTGTACTTTTGTTGTGGTCAGAAACTGTTGGTTGGTTACAAAAAGGGATATGGAATTTTTTGTACCTGCTGCAACTCTGAGGTACTTTTCTTTGTGATGTAGCATATTTTGTGTCACGTATTTGGATTCAGTGTATGTTTGATTCCTGTACATTTTTTTTCTATTTGAATTTTTTTTAATGAGCAGGTCAGTGCCTCAGTGTTTGAAGCTCATGCTGGCTGGGCATCTCGACGCAAACCGTGAGTTGTTTAATTTTTTATTGGATTCAGGGTGTATCTGCATTGTCTATCTTGATTTGCATTTTCCATTGCATTTTATTAATACTCCCAAGTTGTGGTAAAATATGATAAATAATTAAGTTAAAAGATAAAATAATTGAGAGGAAAAATGTTTATAATTATGACGTGCCATTTTTAAAGTAAAGTAGAAAAGAAATTTAAACCATTTTACCTCTTTCTTACCTTTTCCTTTTTTTCCTTTTATTTTTTAAGTTCTTAGGGCATTGTTAGTTTGCTACTTGAATTGAAGGAAAATGTTTTGTACAATTGCCATCAATCATCTTCTCCTTGTTTAATATGGAGTTGCTGTATTGCAGTTACCTGCACATATACACATCTAATGGAATCTCGCTCCATGAGCTGTCCATCTCTTTATCAAAAGATCGGAGGTTTTCCAACAATGATAATGATGATCTCTGCAGCATATGTGAAGATGGAGGGGATCTTTTGTGTTGTGATGGGTGTCCAAGAGCTTTTCACATAGGTGAAATGTTTTTTTGCCTTTTCTTTTTGTGTGTAAATCTATTCTGTATTTCTGGATTTACATATGTTACTTTACCCTTTTCCCAAGTTGTGGCATTTTATTTAGAAGTATTAAGTTGTGGGAACTGAACATCATAACAAGAAATTAGAGACGAAAACAGTTATAGCAACTGGATGGAAAATGAGTATTGATATCTTTCCAGCTAAAAATATAAAATAAAAACAAGAGAAGAAAGCATCTTTCAAAGATAGGTGTCTGAAATTTTTTATAGTTATGACCAGATAATTTAAGGCAAGCTTGATGACATGCCATTTAAATAATATTTTTTTTAGTCATCTTGAGGCTCCAATATTGATTATTTGTTTTCTTCATGAATTTCATTGGATTTTTTGTTATACTTTCTTTATAGTTTCTGGCCGCTTGAAATTTAGTAGGCATTATGTTAGGTGGACAGAAACTCATAACAAGCAGGTTGATATATAAGAGAAATAGGCAAATGGTTGAAAACTGCTTGCATCTCCCATAAAAGGAAAAGACAAAACAGTCTATATGTAGTCTTTTCTAAAAGTAATTCCAGGGATATAATCAACTTAGAAAAAAAAAGGATTTATAACATCTTTGAGGGTTTAGGCATGTTGAAGTATGCATGGGGTTTGGTGTATTTGATAAACCTTTCTAGTTCAAACAAGATTTGCCTTTAGTGCCTTATTAGTAAAACGAGTAAAATATTCATGTTCTTTAAAAATAACTAGTCACTGTTATATGGGACACTTAGCAGATAGAAGCGTATGTAGGTTTAATTTTTGTGCAGTTAGTTTATGTAATAAATGTAATGCAAAAATATTCCAAATATCAATCTTCTCCTTGTTGTAATAACTTTCTTTAGTGAAGCATATGCTGTTCTGTTCCTATTTATTTCCAATTATAAAGTTATGTTGATCTCACCTAATGGTTTTACTTTACCAAGTATTTTAATTATCATGGATGTAAATCGTTGCATTCTTGATTTTAGATATGTTTGATTATATGTGTTTGGTTTTTTGTCTTTGGAGATAAGAAAGCATGTTTGTGGAGTAAAAATTCTTGAAAATAGTACCAACTTGTTTGACTTGATATGGGGAAAACCATGATCATGAGATCATGCCATTATTTAACTTTGTTTAGGGGTGTGGAACCCAACTTTGTAATTTCAATTTAATACTGATTGTGAACTTTTAATTAAGTTTTGCAATTTTAATTTATTTACTTTCGTTTATTTATAATCAAATATTAATAGACATACTTATTATTTAGTTAATTACACTTTTGGAAAGCCTTTTTTATTAACATGATTTAGAAAAAAAAAAGCCAATTTGTTTTTGCTCAACTGATGTTAATAAAACTATGGAGATAAATGATTGGGTTTAGTTTTTTAAAGTGATCCTTCTTTGGGAAGTCACCTGGAAGTCCTTTAATCCCAATTCAATGCTGGCAGGGCATGGAATTGGGCAATCCTCTCTCCCTCCTAAAACTTGCCACAAAAAATAATTCAAACACGATGCATTATTTGAAAATCCTTTTTCCAATAAAGGTTTCTAAGTATATGATTCTATATTCAAGTCTGCTAACACCTAGATTTATGGTGACTCTGTTTGATTCTTTCATGAAATTGTTACTGGATTTTTTGCTTTTGTTTAGAAAATGTAATATGTAAAATTAATGCTTCAGGTTGATTTTATGATTCTTTATCTTGTTATTTGTGTAAAAGTAGTTTTTTTCCTCTGCAATCTGAACTTGATGCTGATATTTATGGTGGTTGTTCTGACTTTTTATTTTTACAATATCAGATTGTGTCCCTCTACCTTGCATTCCTAGTGGTACTTGGTATTGTAAGTATTGCCAGAATGTTTTCCAGAAAGATAGGCATGGGCAGCATAATTTGAATGCTTTGGCAGCTGGAAGGATTGCAGGCACTGATATTTTAGAACAGATGAACCCAAGATGTATTCGTGTTGTCAAAACTGTAGAAGTTGATCATGGTGGATGTGCCTTGTGCAGGTAATTCTGTGTTATTTATTTATTTATTGGCAAGCTGTTTAATGACAGAAAGTAAATTTTGTTTATATTTTAATTCCTCTGGCTCTTCTGTGGGTTGTTATGACTTCAGCAGCCAACTTAAGACTGACTGGTATAACACATGGCTTCTCTATGGGTTGATATGATGAGCATGTGTCAGCCATTTTTTTTCTGTTGCTTTTGAAATATTTCTTCTGGATTCAATCTTGTGTTACTTTTATTTCCTTTCATTTTTTGGGAAGTTTCTATACATTTGATTTTAAATGACAGCTTTAAGACATTATATTTACCTTTCTAATGCTTTGATTTAATCTACAGTCGTCCCAATTTCAGTAAAAGCTTTGGTCCTCGGACAGTAATTATTTGTGATCAGGTACTAGTTTATCTGAATTTTAGATAGACAAGCAGTAATAAATATTTTCTTTTATTGATATCAGATTTTTAATGAGCTAATTGTTATATCCTTGCAGTGTGAGAAAGAATATCATGTTGGATGCTTGAAGGAACATAACATGCAGAATCTAGAGGTACAGTATGTTCTTTTTTTTTCCTCTTATTGAACTTTTGTCTTTTGTAATACATACAGCTTTTGACATTATTTTATAGGAATTGCCGGAAGGGAATTGGTTTTGTAGTACAAATTGCAATCAAATCCATTCTGCTTTGGGGGATTTGGTGGCTTGTGGGGAGAAGAATATTCCAGATTCCCTTCTAAGTTTGATTAAAAAGAAGCATGAAGAGAAAAGTCTTGAGATTGGAGATGGTCTTGATGTTAAATGGAGGGTTATCAACTGGAAGTTAGATAATTCGGTTGAAATTAGGAAATTGCTTTCAAAAGCTGTTTCGATTTTCCATGTGAGTATTTTATGTACTTTTACTTTATTTATTAGTTTGACTTTTTATCGTTGCTTTAATTTTATTAATGATTACCATTTGTATTTGAAGACTTGGTTTATTTTATGTTAGTTTTGAATGATGTGCACTTTTACTCAGAATCTTTTGTTTTCCAGGAGAGGTTTGATCCAATAGTTGATTCTACATCTGGCCGTGATTTCATCCCCACAATGTTGTTTGGGTAAATATATTTTTTTTCTGTATTTTTTGTTTTTATATTTCTAGATGTGAACGATTTTTCCTATTTGTTTTCATTTACATAGAAGGAACATTCGTGGTCAAGATTTTGGTGGAATATACTGTGCAGTGCTTTCTGTCAAGTAAGTATTCTGGTGGAATGATTTATTTTAGCGGTGCATATTTGGTTGGAATAGTTACCTGATTGTGTATATTTTATTGTTTTGCAGCGGTGATGTTGTGTGCGCTGGAGTATTTCGTGTCTTTGGGTCAGAAATAGCTGAGCTTCCATTAGTGGCTACAACTACTGATTCACAAGGACAGGTTATTTGATTTTTTTTAGTGATAAATATATCTTACTCTTAGTGTTTTCGATTAAAGATTTTTGTGAATGTCGGTAAAAATTCCAACTGAATGATATTTTTCAGGGCTATTTTCAATGCCTGTTTTCTTGCATTGAGACGCTACTTGGATCCTTAAATGTGAAAAACCTGGTCCTACCGGCTGCTGATGAAGCTGAATCAATATGGACCGGTAAATTTGGATTTTCAAAACTAGAGCTGGATGAGGTGTGTAACTGGATATGTTGTTTGATTTAGATTTTCATTCGTTGCTTCTACTCATTAGATTAGACTAACGGTTGTTTTCGTTACAGATAAACAAGTATAAGAAATTTTATCGCATGATGATATTTCAAGGGACCTCGGTGTTACAGAAGCCTGTTCCTGCACTCTGAAGTACTTTTAACCTGGAGTTTGTGTAAAGTTTTTTTGGAGCCCTCACATGCAATAGACTTTTTACCCTTGGTTGTTTTGCTTGATGCAGCAGATCAGACTCGTTTAGTATGTACAGGGATCTGCCTTTTTTGGTGTACAGAAAAAGAAAAAAAAACAACCACCTCTAGCTGTTATATTTTGTTTTCGTAGCAAAGAAATGAAAGGAGGTCAGAGTTGAAAATAGAGGATACTAGGATCATGTGATTTTTCCCAAACTAGCCAAAATTTTGGTTGTTATAATTTCGTTTATTATTGGCCACCTCGTGGTTTTGAACTTGTTATGCCGTCGACAGATTTTGCTGCTTTTTCTTAACCTCGTTTAATCGGATATATTTGTCGATGTCATCGTGTTTACCTTTGAGTTAGCAATTCTTCGAGAAAATCTGTTAAATTATTTTATTTTTATTTGAAAGGCTTTCCGCCGAATAATATTCACATTAACTATAAAAAGTTATGTGTAACATGTTGGTTAAGTTTTACAATAATAACTATTCTTGATTAGTAAGTGTTTTTTTTTTATAATTAAGTTCTTTGGAGATTAAATTCTGTTTTTTGAGATTAACTATAAAAATTTTTGTATCGATGTTAAGGTTGGAGGAACCAATTTGTGAGTTAATGATTTTGGTGGGGGATACTCTTATTAATACTGTGATTACAAAAATTAAAATTATTTCTCATTTTGGATATAAAATATACCTTTTGTGGGAAAGAAATAATCAATGTGTTCACGTATTTTATTGGAAATATATTTTTTTATACGTAAAAATCAGAGTTAGTATCAAGATAATTATATCATACACTTGGAAGAGATCGGTCACTCATTTTGACATTTCGTAATTGTATGTATATATATATATATATATATATAAAGGGTTTAAACGATACTGGTGTAATTTTTACTAATTGTTACACTGCTCAATAACTTTATATTAAATGTGAATTTTGAAAATTTAACCGTTAGATTGAAAGTTCATATCTCTTAAATCATATATATCAAATTTTGTTAAAATTGAACAACTTAAAAGTAATTAAAATATTTATATTTTAGTATATTTTAAAATATATATATTAAGTAAATGGTCGAAAGCAATGTTAATGGTAGATAAGGATAAACATTTTTTTACGGCAGCACCTTTTGGATTACTTTGGTTATTAAGTTTAAGCTATTTTATATTATTTTATTATAGGTAATCTGCCTATTAATTAAAAAAAAAAGATTTGCCGGTAACGTGATTGTATTTAGTGTAATTCGGAGGAGTAAATAGTGATGGTTTGAATTAAGAAATTAAATAGTTTGACATGTTTTGGAAAGTAGCAGGTGCTGGGGGGTTAAAACACAATTTTTTTCTTCAAATTTTAGTTAATAAATAAATAAATCGATAAGAATACAAAATTGTGAGTATGTATGTTAGAAGTAAAATAACCATTTACCAAAAAAAAAAACTAAGAAAACTACTATTAGAACTATAAGAGAAGATAAAAGACTACATAAAAGTTGGATATGAACTAAGATTTTTTAATTGATGAAACCCTTTAAACAAAAATACACTTATATACCTTTGATAATCGTCAATCAATAAATAATATTCATTTATGTTCCAACATTTTGTTGTTTTAAGAGAATAAAAACAAATATTTAACGTCGTGTGATATAGTCTTTAAGCACTTTAATTATAGGATATTTTTGGATCTCGACACAAAAAATGTAATATTAGAAGTGAAATATATATCGGAGCTTAGAAAGAGAAATACCAAAATAGATATTTCATTTGGTCTTTATTATATCCAAACATTATGTCTGTAGAATTAATTTTTACTTTATAAAAATCCTCTTATTAAATACATTTATAAATTTAATAAATAAGTGAAATTCATTTAATGTTTGTCTCGTAAACTACAAATAATCTCCTATTTTTGTTCTAAGGATACAAAAGCTTTAAAATATATATTAAATATCTCGTTAATTTAATGATAATTTTGAAAAGGAATAAAAATTTAAGATTATTTATTGATTAAAAAAAACATTTTTTAATGTCAGCAAATTATTTAGTTGTATGTTTGTAATAACGAAAAAGTGTATAAAATATGGGCACATAAGAAGGTGTTTTGCGTTAATAAAAGAATATTATTTGGATTGGAAGAATCTACGATGGTTGGTGGTGTTGACTGGTAAAATAATTGCACATTATTAATGAAGTGATAAATGAGAAGGGTGGTGGCAGAGCTTTGAACAGCTTTAGTACTCATTGGAGACATCTATTGATGGCAGAGAAGGCTGTGAAATACTGTGTGGTATGTATGTTATTCAAATGTTCCTTTCTTTTACATCCTTACTATGTGCACTCTATCTGAGTGAGATAAGCAGGTGGACGCGTTTACTGAGTCAGCGTTCAAGGGGAACCCTGCAGCTGTGTGTTTCTTAGAAGATGAAAGGGACGATGATTGGTTGCAAGCTGTAGCTGCTGAGTTCAATGTCTCTCAGACCAGTTACTTAACTCGCATCAATGAGTCTAAACAAACTTCAATTCCCCGTTTTCATCTCAGATGGTTTACTCCTGTTTCTGAGGTACAATGCATTTAGTTGTTGGAGATTGTCACTATTGATATATATGACTAGAATAGTACATATAGATAGATGTTGAATCTCTCTCATGAATTAACTTTCAAGGTTGAGGTAGGTTCAAGTTTAGATTTTGAAGTATATTATGAGTCTCTTTTCTAGTTGTTGATGGGAAAAACCCTACTTCACACAATTAGATTATTCACATATAGATAAGATTATTGATAGCTTCCATTTTCTTTTAAGTGTATGAGTTTTTTTTTTTAATAATCTTGACTTATTGGATGATATTTGATCATCTGGACTACCCTTATGCAGGTTAAACTTTGTGGGCATGCCACATTAGCTGCTGCCCACTCACTATTTTCATCTGGTTTGGTGGATACTAATGTAATTGAATTTGTGACTCTATCCGGAGTGCTAACTGCCAAAAAGATTCCAGAGATCAATATCACTGGTGTCTCAAACTTGCCAAACGGTGAAGCTCGGGATGAGTTTTATATTGAATTGGATTTTCCTGTTGATCCTGTTACAGAATTCAGCTTTGATGTGACTTCACAAATTTCTGAGGCATTGAACGGTGCTTCCATAATTGATATAAAGAGGACACAAATTGGAGATGACTTAATTGTAATTCCTATATATGCTATCTTCCATTTCTATTATTGTCTAGTACACATCATTTACCTTAGAATGCATCCTTCTAATAATCTTAGAATTAGAACAATACATATGTGTGTGTGCTACTTGACTTTTTACATGCAAAATAACAAGTTGTGTTATGAACAATTTGTGCACATTCAACATTATGAAACCTGCAATTTTTTCTAGGTTGAAGTCACATCCGGAGGAGTAGTGGCAGAACTACAGCCACAAATTGATGCAATAGCTAAATGTCCTCGAAGGGGGATGATTGTTACGGGGATTGCTCCTCCAGGCTCGGGATTTGACATCTATAGTCGATTCTTCTGCCCCAAAATAGGAATTAATGAGGTAAAAGTGGCTGAGAATTTTGTCTATAATGTTTCTTCAATTGCCTGGTGTCTCCTTAGTTATGCAATGATTGAAGACACAGTCCAAACAAGGTGTTGTTCAAATTTTGATTTTGAACTCATCAATGTTGATACAATTTTGGAACTAAATTATCTCTTAAAACATGCTACTTCTATTGGTATTGTTTGTAATTAGAATTAGAATTTTCCCTTAGTAATTTGTAAGATACTGTGAAAGTTTGCATTAAAAGATTATACAGATTATTGAGATAAAATTTCAATTTTGATTAACCATCATCTATGGAATTATATACAGATTATCGAGGTCCTGTAGCAAGCACTTCACCATTAAAAATTACATTAGAAAAACTTAAATTGAAGGCTCATATTATCATCATTACTACCTAAGTTTACAAGTTCATTGATGCAATGGATAATATGAAATGCAAGTCCAATCTTCCATTTCACTTCAATACATACAAGTAGAATTAGTGAGATAATGTTAAATAAGTCATATTTTATTTTCAGGATCCTGTTTGTGGGAGTGCACATTGTGCATTGGCATCATATTGGAGCAAGAAACTGGGGAAGTGTGATTTGAATGCTTATCAGGTACTCTCCTTCACCTCACTAAATTAATGATTATCTTTGTCACTGTCATAGTAACATGTAGATTACATTTGTGCAGGCATCAGGCAGAGGGGGAGTTCTCAAAATTCATATTGATGAACAGACCCAAAGAGTGCTTCTGCGTGGTAAGGCTGTTACTGTGATGGAAGGCTGTATTCTGGTCTAGTGACAATAATTGTTATTCAAGTGTTACCATACTTGAATAAACCTCTCAGCATTCTGTGTTTGATACACTAAAATAAAACATGGGTATGCAGTATAATACCCATACCCATACTTAATTTTATACTGTTATTATTTTAATTATACTTCTAAAAGTAATTTTTATTGATACTAGAGTTAATTGCATTTTCTAATGTTTTCAAATAGGGTTAATTGTGATGTAAAAGGATTTTATATTATCAACTAATTAAAATTAATATATATATATATATATAATTGTTGAATTTTAAAATAATTAATTAAAAATCATTCTTAACGTAATTTTTATTGGTTAACAAATATTAAAAATTACACAAAAATAAAATCCATACTTATTAGTTATTTTGCCTGCTGTGGCGAACTGGCTATGGACACGAATGTGTTCTGATTTTGTGCATCGAGAAATTAACAAAGACATGAGCAAAATAAGTTAAAGTGATGCTTTAAAATTAAAAAGTTGAAATAATTCAGCCTTATATATGTAAAACACGAATAACTATTTTATTTGAAAGAATGTTTAGAAATTTTTATTTGATAAAAAATTTTAAAATGTTTTTTATATTTCAAACAAACAACACAAACTAAACATTCGTGTAGAAAGTGGGTATCACTCCATAAAACGATTTTAAAAATCTGGAAAACGCGGAGTAAACAAAAACTTCAAATTCGTCCAATTCTTCGAACTCCTCAGATCAGAAAACCTCTCTAACATTCGTTACGATCGACTAAATCTACATTACAACGGAATAAACTTTAAATCATATGTTAATTTCACTGGATTTTAGGTTATCGCGATTACTTGGACGTCGTTCAAACATCACACACTTCAATCGACGAGGAGGCAGTGAATAGTTGAAAGCTAAATAAATATTCATTGAGTCAAACAAAAGAAGTATTTCATGACAATGTAAAAGGCATCGACTAAGACTCAGCTTTAAAAAAAAAAAAAAAAAAACAGTGAAAACATAAACCCTAGGAGCTAGTGAACTTGGTGACAGCCTTGGTTCCTTCAGAAACAGCGTGCTTGGCAAGTTCCCCGGGCAGCACGAGCCTGACCGCGGTCTGAATCTCGCGAGAGGTTATCGTCGGTTTTTTGTTGTATCTGGCAAGACGAGAAGATTCCTGCGCAAGCTTCTCGAAGAACCGATTTAATGCTACGATGTCGATCAGAAATTAAACATATTCCTTTTTTATTTGTTACATGTAAACGCAAATGAGAGAAAAACCATGACCACGCAAGTAATGTTTCTCCTTTAACCAAGCAAATGCAAGAGGAAGAACGTTGTTATTACCATCTTGTGTTGTAGCAATGAGCAATGTACCTTAATATTTGTCATATAGACGAGTGCCATCAACTTGTATCAAGGGTTTACAATAATTAAATGCATCACAACACGCCTTGAATGTCCAAAATAATCTGTGAAATTGACGGTAACCACGATCGCAACGATTACCAACAAAAAACTCATCATGACACAGATCATAAAATGACCCTGGAGCAATTTCTTTCATGTATTTAAGCCATCAAGGTAAATAAGCATACGATTCTTCCCCATCTCCAAAAATTTTAATAATTGCTTTTTGTTTAGCCATCCAAGCCTTTCTATAAAATATTTTAAACCCAATTTGAGATGTTATTCTCTCTTGGATAAGGCTAATCTTGATTGCTGGATCTTGGTTAACCATTCCTACATATTAAATATTAGTAATGAGTAATAAAAATTATTATTAATATAAACTATAAACTTTGCAGAACTTACCTTGTATAAATGATGCAATTAACTCAGAATCTAACTTATCATGATCTTGTGACAAAGACGTGTTCAAACACGTATGACGTCCACCCCACTGAGTCATTTTCCACTTATCATATTTCTTTGACTCAATGGCTCTCATGTACCATCCACATCCATCATGTGCATTTAGACATCTAACAACCCACTTGGTCTTTTTCGACTCAACCACATAAAAACTTTGATGCATTCTCATTGCATTTTGCTTTACTGCATTTTTAACCGCATCTTTATTCTCAAACTCCAACCCCACATATAAATCTTG